GGGGCTCAACTTGGAGCATTTTACTGGACAATATCCCATGGCTAGTCATAGTTTTCTCTGTTTTTTGAAGTAGATCTCCAGGTCCTTATTCCTAGGTTCACTGAATTTCGCACTCCCCCGGGCTAGCTCTTCTCCTTGTATGCCCCGGGAGAGTGGCCACAGCCCTCCAAAGAATCAGATCCAGTCCTGAGAGCCAGCTGCTGATTTGAGTCACTCCTGTCCACTCCTGTCCACCAGAAAGGCAGTGAGTGCCCCTGGGGCTCCTTCAACCCCAGGGTGAAGGGGAGCCTGTGAATTTTCTCACTTGAGTTCAATCACATTCTCCCCTCCCCACCACTGACTCAACCCCCACCCCTAACTATGCTGGAGGAGAAGAACCAGTGTCCCTCTTGGTGGTGTTAGTGCCCGGCTGGTGTGGGGACAGTGCTTCAGCTCACTTGTCCCCTTTTGTCTGCTGAGGTCCGGGGTGCAGGGGAGACGGGCAGCTCCACAGGCATCCCATTAGAGCAGTTGAGAATCTAGACATTTGGGGGGTGGGGGTGGCAGTCTTTGCATAGAGTCCTTCCTCTGAACTACCAAGCTGGAATTTGTCTTCCTGGTTTGTGGTGGTTGTTTGGGGCTTTTTTTTCCTTTGAGGTTTTGTTTGAAGAGGTATTTTTACAGAGCCTCCAGATAGGTGTTCTGTTTTTTCCCTCCCTTCTTGTGTCTTAAAGCTTTACCACTCTCCCCCACCCCCCTCCATTTGCCAGGCTCCCTCTTATGGTGACTTAGTTGGTAGAGTTATTAACTATAGAAGTGGACATCATAGGGTTCCGGGCCCTTGAGAGGGGCTCGGAAGGAGAATAAAGGGCCTGGGATGGGAGAGAGAGGTGATCTTACCCTGACTTCACAATGTTATAGTCAGGCCCAGCGTGGCTACTGGATCTTGGCATCACTCTCATCTCAAAGAGGGAGCGTGGGCTTCTCTTTTCTTCCCTTGGGTTCAGGCTTCAGGTGAATTAGGGTTGTTTGTTTTTTTCCCCTTTCCCGCCCCGCATTCACTCCTCTGGAATTTGGAAAGAAAATCTCTAGTCCAGGTTATATTGTTCTCAACTTATAAGAGGAAAGCAAAGAGACCTGGCTCAGGACAATACCCTAAAGAATTCACCAACGCATACACACACTAGACCACTCCCCAAGCTGCTTAGCCTATGCAACCTTGTAAAGTCCACATTTGCCCAAACAGCCTACCCTTCGGATATGAGATGTTGTCACAAGATGTGGCACGATATATACATTGCCCATAATTAACCTGTCCTTTCCTGCCTGATAAGGAGCCCTGGTGCTGTGGCGTTTAAGCGCTGGGCTGCGATCCACAGGGTGGGCAGTGAAAACCACCAGCGGCTCCACAACAGACAGGCTGGGCTTTCCACTCCCGTGACCGACTCAGAAACCCACAGGGGTCACTATGGGTCAGCACTGACTCTGTGGGATGGCAATGAGTTTGTTTTATTTTTGTTTGTTTCTTTCCTTCCCGATATCCTGTTTCTTTGGGGTCCTTTCCTCGCAGGAGAATATCCCACCCAGTAAGTGGCTATGGGTTATGAGCAGACGTGGCCCACGGAACATGCGGATAAAGGGCCGTCACAATCTCCACGTCAAAGAAGCAAAAATCGTTGGAAAGATGTCACTCAACCAAGTCAGAAGATATTTGAAGTCGAGGGATTGTATACGCCTTACTTTTTTCAAGAATCATAGCCCCACCATAATCCATATTTATAGCTATGAGAAATCGGTTACATATTCCTAATCCCTCAATTTGCTTTGTGGTGTACTTGTATAAAACTGTAAGCGCTCTTTTCGGGGGTGGGGGGTGGGGGGGTGGTGGAGCTTGCCTAGGCAGTTCCAGGTCCAGCTGACTGCTTGCTGGATCGATCAGAGCTGATCTTTCCCTTCCATCCAGTCTGCTGTTGCCTCTCAGCTGCTCAGAGTGAGACCTGAGTTGGTAACACACAAAAACAGAGATGGACTGGCTCACTCCTTACCACTGAGTCACGTAAGAGAGAGAGAGAGAGAGAAAGGAATGAGGGAGTTTAGGATGGATGGGAGGTGGTAGGCTTACAGATGGACAACTGGAGGGAGAAACTAGAAGAGTTGGTTCCCATCTTGCTCACGAATGCCGTGACTCCTTTGTTACTATTACGTTGTTAGCTGCCAGGAAGTCACCTCTAACTTCATGCACAACAGAATGAAATGCTACACATACCACGTGGTCTATGCCATCCCCTTAATCAGTTGGTGGATCAGATGGTCTCTGTGGTAGTCACATAATTTCATGTCAACTTGATAGATAAGTGTAGAGGTGGAGTTCTAGCCTATCAATCAGGTCACAGCCTGGCTCCGAAAAGAAGGTGTGAGCAAGCCTTCTCGTGAGGATTCTGGGAACTTTCTCTTTTTCTCCTTGGAGCCAGGCCACACTCTCTCTGCGTCACCTTCCTGTTAACAAGCCACTTGGAGCCAAGTTGATGGTAGCCCTGGTCATACTTCCACCATTGGATCACAAGACTGCACCCACCGGCCTGTGATCTTCCTCCATTCTGCACCATTGCATGTAGCTGCCGTGAGTCTGAAGAAGGATTCATGGACTAGTGTTGGATTTATGAACTAGTATCAGACTTATGGACTTATGATCTGGACTGGGTGGCAATGTTTTCCTGATATATAACTACTTCTTGATATAAAGCTCTCTCTTACACATACATGAGCATCTCTGGATTTGTTTCTCTAGACAACCCAGACTAATACCATCTTTTAGTTGTCTAGTGCTGCTCTAATGGAAACATCTCAAGTGGATGGCTTTAATGAATGGAAAATTATTCTCGACAGCTTAGGAAGCTAGAAGTTCAAGGTCAGGGGACCAGTTCCAGGGGAAACCCTGTCACCTGAGTAAAGAGGCTGCATCTCATACTAATCCCCTGGCAATTGACTTGTTGCTCACATCAGTTCACATCATGGGGTGTGATTACATCACTGCAAAGCGGCCACATTGCGTTGTGCCACATTGTTCAAATCTATCTTTGGACACCGTGTGAAGTATAACTTGAGCTAAATATTTATTACAACACAAACTACTTTAAGTCAAGCCAGTGTGCACTTCCTCTAGCTGAGGCTAACTAACACTGCATTAAAATAGCTTGATTGTTTATACAACAGCATATGTGCTGTATCTCAAAAACTAGAGCTAATAGGGGAAACCTGGGCTACTTTGGGAATCAGCATGTCAACTATATCCAGAAACAGGTCTAACATTTGGGGCACCGACATGTGTGTTGGCCAGTGCACTCCTTTACTTGTGTCTTGAGTTGCCCTTCAGCTCTTTTATTTTGTCATTTCTTCTATTCGCTTTTGTCATTCTATGCTCTAGAGAAAATTTCAGAGCCTCTCCTGACATCCACTTTGTGTGTTTTCTCTTTCTTTCCTGTATTCTTTAATGATGTTTTGCTATTTTCCATGTAGGATGTCATCCCATTGCACATCTAATGTGTTTAGTCTTTAGTGTTCTTTCTGTGCTACAAATAGTCTCGGTTCAGGTGAGATAACTCACTGGGTCACCATCAGCTGCTCCTTGTCAACCCATCTAACTGATAACCCACTGCCCGCAAAATAAAACCCAAGTTCCTTAAGTTGAGGAGCAAGTGGATTTACAAGATTTTGAATAAAAGAATGTGTTTCCATAGTCGGCCAGGTAGGGAGTAATGTGCAGGTCTCTGCGATGCTATTATGGGGCTTTCTTTGGAATCTGGATGTGGCCCCAAGGAAGGACCAGTACTTGCGATGAGAGCTGGGTCTCCAGCCACCACTCCAGCTGCCCGCAATCAAATCGTCTGCATGACTACCTATGCTTAGCTGGCGCTTCCAAGGAATCTTGCTGCCTGTAGAACCTCCGAGGAGTCCTGGTGGCGAAGGTAATGCGTTGGGCTGCGATCCCCAAGGTCAGCAGTTTGAAACCACTTGGCGGTAGAGAGATGGGGCTTTCTGCTCCCCCCAAACAGTCTCGAAAACTCAGAGACAGTTCTACCCTGCCCTGTTTGAGAAGGAATCGACTCAGTGGCAGTGAGGCTGGTTGGTTTACAGACCCTCAAGGAGCCCTGGGGATTAGGCACTGGGCTGCTAACCAAAGTTCAACGCAGTCAGCTGCGCCGCGGGAGAAAGGCCAGGCTGTCTTCTCCGGAAAGGATTTACACTCTTGGAAATCCACAGGGGCGGCTCGACCTGTCCTTATAGACTGGTGGTCGCTGGCAGCAACCAGGCGCTGGAACCTGCTCTAACGGGAACCAGCAAGGTAAAACTCCCCCCCC